AGGTATCAAGGGTAGGCTTGTGGTTAAAGCACTGGATGGAATTCTCCTGGCTCTGCCATAGATTTCCAGTGTAATCTTGAGCAAGTCACTTAGCTCTTTTCTGCTCCAGTTATCCCCTCTGTACAGGCATAGCAACGTTTTAAGCACCACGGCTCTTTGCCAGAGAATGTCAAGGTATGTCCATTGAGATATCACAGGATCGGGCCTGCCTGGCCACTGCTGCTGAACGCTCCTTCAGGAGTGTGGGGGACGAGAAAGAGAGGAGCTCGGTAGAGGTTGAAAGAGAGGGGTATAAACAGACAGGGTGCGTGTCTGCCTATTACACAGAGGGAGATACATAGGCATGATTTCAGTGCACTTTGCTTTGTCACATCTGGAAATAAAATGGAGATGATGCTTTGGTGTAATAGAGTGCCATACGGTGACTCACATGGTGATCAGCTGTTGGAACCCAGCAGTGAGAAGCTGACAGTGCGGTTCCTTAACTCCAAGAGAGAAAAGGGAGGTGAGAGTGGCTGTCTGGGGAAAAAGGTCTCGGGCTTGGAAGAGACAGGTTCTGCAGGCGGATCAGCCGACTTTGGGCTGGAATTCATTATAAACTAAACTGCAGGTGGAGGGTTTGTTTGACTGTGTAGAGAATCCATGACTGAGGTAGAAGTGGGAGCTGAGAGGCATACAGCATGGTCCAAACCCAAAGAAGAGCGATTCTGTGACTGGCGTGACAGAAGAGAGACTGAGACAGAGGTACATTCTACTCCGGTGTCTGAATTACGGAGGGAAGGAAAAGATTTCTGCAAAACCAGGGCCGGCTTTAGGGTTTTTGCCCCCCCAAGCGACGGAAAAAAAAAAAGCCGCGATCGGCTCCACTGCGCCGCTTTCATCTTTGACGGCAATTCGGTAGCAGGTCCTTCCCTCTGAGAGGGACCAAAGGACCCGCCGCTGAAGAGCCCGACGTGCTGCCCCTTTCCCTTGGCCGCCCCAAGCACCTGCTTGCTGGGCTGGTGCCTGGAGCCAGCCCTGTGCAAAACTCTCAGGAATCGTAAGAGATTTCTCTTCGAAAAGTGTTGAGGGAAACTGTGTCTGACACTGGGCGAAAGAGACGGCATTGCTATCAACCTGGAGTGCTGGGCTCGATGCAGGAATCCCTCGGTGACTCTCTCTGGTCCTGGCATCAAGTAGAAAATCAGACTGCGAGTGGTCATAATGGACCTTTCTGGCCTTAAAATCTATGGGGCAGATCCTCAGCCAGTATAAACTGGCATAACTCCATTGACAGTTTCCACCAGCTAAGGATATGCGGCAATGAATCTATGTATCAAGCTGCAGACCAGAATGGACACTGGTGTTAAATGGACGTGGGATCAAACCCCTGACACAGGCTGTGGTGTTGTCCCGGGGTGGATTGTGCCCCTTCTGACACAAAATCCAAGGCAGTCTGGGCCTATATTCTGCTTCTTTGCAAACTTTGGCCGTGGCAGGGCGAGTCCTTGCGTGGTGCACACCAGGGTGTGCCATGTTGGTGGAGCAGAAGCGATGCATGGGGCACCAGACAGGTTAAGCACTGGGGGAGCTGTCCTGTGGGCTGAGCTAGAATAAGTGTCACACCCTTGGTATGTCTGATCCTTATTTGTGGGGCCACAGGGTTACGTACAAAGAAGGTGTAAAAGTGCCCAGGAAGAGGGAAATTCTCCCTCTGAATAGAGTCATAATTATTTATTTGTATTCCTGTATTGCCTAGGGGAGTGCTTATCGTGGGCCAGGGCTCCGTTGTGCTAGGCGCTGTACAAACACAACAAACAAAAAGTTCCTAACTGTCAGGGTGGTTAAGCACTGGAATAAATTGCCTAGGGAGGTTGTGGAATCTCCATCTCTGGAGATATTTAAGAGTAGGTTAGATAAATGTCTATCAGGGATGGTCTAGACAGTATTTGGTCCTGCCATGTGGGCAGGGGACTGGTCTCGATGACCTCTCGAGGTCCCTTCCAGTCCTAGAATCTATGAATCTATGAACACAGAACAAGATTCAGAGCTGTAATCTGGTCATATTTATGTAATGTAGGAAAGTGAAGACACAGGAAGAGTCAAGGTCCACCTTTGCCCAAACCTGCAGGAAGGTCTTTGGGATCATCCTTTACTTGTACAGCACCTAGGACAGGGAGGAACTGATCCCTGGTTCAGTTACGTAGGTGCTTCAGTGATACAGGTAATAGGTTTGTCCAGCTACTGCTAACAGATGCTCAATGGATCAGTGCAAGATGATCCCTCCCCCCCCGCCCCAAGATCCCTGACAACCTGAAAATTATCCCTGAGATCAATACAAAGGGGGCACATGATGCCATTTTAAAACACATTTAACACCGATACAAAGAAATGATTTTACATAATACATAAATAACAACATTTCTATGCATAATAAGAACAGTCCCAGCTCTCTTGTTTTAGAATAGCAATTTATAACGGATACAAACCCTCATGCTTCAAGGCGTAAGCCACCACTGAGTGTATGGGGTTAGGAAGAAACTACCGTCAGGGAAGCGTTGATCCATAATTGTGCACTAGGAGTTTTTGCACTTTTCTCTGAAGCAGCTGGCACTGGCCCCTCTCTGAGACAGGATACCTGACTGCGTGAGACAGCTGGTCAGCTCTGTAGTTCTACTAGAGTCTGTAATAATGGAACCTGACACACAGCTTCCCAGGACTCCCCACCCACACTACCTCGCATAGCCTGAATCCTACTCACTACCCCTCCTATTGCCGATTTGCCCACTGCCTCCGCCTCGTTAGACAATGGGTGCGTGTGCATTGCTGATGTTCAAAAGTGAAAGCAAACTGCGGTGAAAGCGGGGGAGAGGCGTTCTGGATGTAGCCAGCTGATCACCCCCATTTCTCTGGTTAAGGAGCCCCCTCCGAGTGCTTTGTGAGAAGTGCTTTCAACCCGGCCTCCTGGCAACTTGGAGTTTGCACCCACGGCTCTCACCTGGAAGATAAACAATTGAGCTGCCAGTCGTGTTGTCAGGACACGGGACAGTTGTTACCGAGGGAGCCTGTGTTTACTAAAACAGTGTCTGCAAGTAGCAGCCCCTGGATCAACACTGGCGTTATTGGTTTAAAATACTAATATTTTCGTTTTAATCCACACATACAAATGCCCACAGGAGAGCCAGCCGTGAGCCTTTCTGTATAATGCTGCCAGCAAAGAGCCTTATCCCAGAGCAGCCAGAATTACAGTAAACTTTCTCCCAGGACACTAAATTCAGCGCCGGAGTTACAGTAACCTGTATTTCCCCCCATCGTAGCGCCTTCAATGCCCTGGCTTTCATGCTGCTTGTACACCATTCTGCATCCTTCGCGTGTCCATGTCAGCTAAGACACAGGAAAAGAGCTCTCTCAGGGTAATCTGAACGAGAGGTAGTATTGTTCTCTATTGTATGACAGCAGCTCCTAGAAACCCGAATGAGGGCCCCATCGTGTTAGGTGCTGTACAGACAATCACAGCTTTGTTACCAGTCCTTGCATCTGAAAAAAATAAAGGGGAAAAAAGAAAAAAAAAATCTATCCCCTAGGACCTCAAATCTCCCTCTTTATGTAGATTTGCAGGTAACTCCTCCCATGCGGCAGTATGTCCACTGAGCATTGATTTAGGAACACCACAGCTTCCTTTAGAGGCTTGCTATCCCGTGGTCAGTATCCGCTTTTGCCCTGGATGTATTTGAGACTTTCCTAAGGGGTTAAGGCTCTGACAGTGTACCCCATAAGGCTTTATGGGGGGAGGGGTGCTTATAAATGTATGGATGACATAACTGGAATATGTTTTGTGC